CAGTTTTTCGAAGATTGGAGGGGCTTCATAATTGAATCAAAGCTTAGATCAGAGCGGGAAGAGAATGATTGCTGTTGATTGGATATTTAGTTCGCTGCGACGCCAACTTCAAAACATGTGTCAGTTTGAATGCAGATTACTTCGTCGAGAAAAGTAACCTCCTAAAGAAATCATGCCTGCGACTCCGTGTGCTATATATGCTAACAAGTCTATCCTTAACTTCAAATTGAGGAAAAAAGCTCGAGTCACTTGGGATACTGAGGGCCAATTTCACCAACATTAATTTTCAACAGTCCCTTCAAATGTCAGTGATTTCTATTGAAATGTTGAATAAACTCGTGACAAAACGGTTACTTTATAAATAAGAATACATTATAGATGTAATATTATGTCTTTGTGCTTTAGAGTTAGGATAACTTTCATAGAATTTAAAATTTTTCTCATTTCAAAAAAGACGGTCAGTTATTTGAATGGACTAATGAAAACGCGAGAAATAATAGGTCGATTTTCGGAACGGACTGTTACCCTATAGGTGGAGAATAACGGACTGTTAATTTGACAACCTTGGTGAAATCCACCCTTACTGTAATATTTTTTTATCTTTGCCTTGATGACAGAACAGTTGCATCTTTGGTCTCATGTCTCAAATAAGTTTACTTCTTTGTGCTGGTTGAAAATGCTCAATAGGTACGGTACTAAACAGTCCTCAAATCCCAATCAGCCTCAATATCTGTCCGTCAAATTTTTGATAACACTCAGTATTGAGCTTGAAAAATTCGAGATTGCCATGAACTAACAACCGTCCAAATCTGCTGCCAAATTTAACAGCTAGAAAGTCGACCTATTATTTCTGCCATTCCCATTCGCTGAGGGGATAACGGATTATCAAATGTAAACCTATAACATGTATCAAAATACATGAAAGTTATCCTGTTTTTTCGGTACACAAGCATCATGTAGGAATCAAAAAGTGGTCTTGTTGATAATACAGTCGAATTTTCACGATTTTATTCAATATTTTAATAGAAATCACTGATATTCAGAGACATTTGACAGCTTCTGTCAAATTGCATTTCGATAAGGTATTTTCCCATTGGTCCATAATATTAATGTTGGTGAAATTTGGCCTTAGTGAAGCTTAATTATCTGATTTTCATCTACAAACTAATGCTTACATCTGAACCTATATCGCTTAGAGAAAAGTTAATTCTTAAAGGCGCATTATGACTTCGAAGTTGAGTCATTTATTTTAACAGTGAGTAGATCTGATCAAAAGAATGTTTTGTTTTTTCCTTTACCATTTTTCTGGTAAAATTAAAGTAACAAAGTTATAGCCCTTTGGAAGTTTGAGTACCGCCCTGTCTCAATAATAATATTATGTGCTCGTGTTTGGCGACAACGGATATAATCCGCCTTAATCGATTATCCGCCCTCGGAAACAAAAAGCGAAAGAATTTGGAACGATGTTTTTACAATTATTTCATTCAGTTGTATACAGTCAGTGTCAGTCGGTAGTGAATAGTGGTGTAAACTGTTGCGTGGCTCAAAACGAAATAAAAATGGCACATGTTTATGCCGATCGGTTTTCCCAATCGGTGCAACCAACCCTCGTGCCTTTGTTAACGTAGTACAACCGGTTCGTGAATCAGGTGACTTAATACCTCACATATGGACGGCCATGCCGGTGCTCCAAGACCTCACTATCAAATACAGGTCCGCACTGAAATACTTGTCGGGAGGATACTTTATAAAACAAGGTAAAATTTTTTTTTTATTTTTACACACATATTTTGGTTTATCTTCCTTCTACAATCATTATCTGAAATTAATGACTCAACTTCAAAGTCACCCTGTAGAACGATCTGGCATGGAA